TGTGGAGTCTCTACATGAAACAGGCAAACAGTGCAGAGCATATGGTACAGAGAAAAGCAAGACCAAAATCAGCCGTAAACCCTCAAAATGGTGGGAAGCATGAGAATGATAAAAAATAAATCTGTTGCAATGTCGGACACAAGTGCGCTAACCAACAAATTTCAACCACGCGTAAAGTGCATATCAAACCAAACCACAATCTTGGAAAGGAAACAATTGGAAGACACAAATAATATTACAAACCACACTATTTGCCATTTACATTCCATTTCTACTGAGCACATTTCGGGGGAAAAGCAAACACTCACCATTTCTTTCCCGAAATAATTTGTCTCTTTGCTTGCAAGTGCCGGTCATAAAAGAAAAGCCCATTACAGTAGGCCAAGTGGTCTGCCAAACCATGCTGCAAACCATGCTGCAAACCATGCTGCAAACCATGCTGCAAACCATGCTGCAAACCATGCTGCAAACCATGCTGCAAAATTGTTATACCGCCGCCAGTTGACCATGAGAAAGCGAAGGCCAAACGAGAAAGGAGCCGCAAATGGCTTCCTTCTTCTAGGAATAAGAACAACAGCAACGACCACGAGGAAGACGACCGCTTTGCAGGACCGTTAGCGGGAGCATGCGCATTAGCCTTTTTTTAATCACATGCTTATCGCTGATTGGCTGAGCGATGCGACGTGAATTATGTGCAGCTGCAACTGTTTGGTTTGTGGAGTGTTTTGGCGCGCCATACCCGACCTTTGGACCCTTTGATATCAGAGTACTGATCAATTATTAGAACAGATGGGTGCGGAGTAGATCTACGGCGACGATCGGGCTTTGGCAAGTAAGTTTGATTGATTTGATTGATTGATTTTATTTGGATTCGCGAGACCAAACGAGCAGGAGTGCTCAAAGTTAGCTGGTTTCACCACTGCACTAAGCACAAAGATAAATGCGGATGTACACTAACAGGTTCCTAGTTCTGGTTCCAGGGAGTCGTCTGAGTCGAGTCATGGCCAAGGAGTCAAATCCAACGGCTCACATGAAAAACCAGCTCGTTACGGATCCAATGCGATCAGTACTGTCGCCGGAAACCAGATAGTTATGATGAAGCTGTTGTAGTCACTATCCGCAGACACGAGTGCATAGTGTTCAGATGAGGATGGATGGTTGCCACATTCTTGACACAGCCCTCCGCACAACTCAATTCGTCGAGGAGTACCTGGCTGACAGAGTTAGCGGCAACTGAGCAGGCAGTGAGTTTGCCGAGTCCGACAGAGCCGAAGGCAGCCTACCATGCTTTAGTGAATAAAGTACTTGTACAAAGTAAATCATAGGGGCATTTCTTTGCCAGACGGTTGGGGATGCTGTAGCAGCTTTCAAGCCATTGGAGGAGGCAATCCACCATAAGCTGCTACCGTCTTTACCAAAGTACAATGAATGGAGAGGACAATTATTTCTATCCCACACCCATGATATGGTGGCTTACCAGGCTTAGGCATCGTGAAAATGAATTTGTTAAGGCTCTAGCACCATCATTATCATAATCCTCTATGTCTTCTATTTATTTTGTCTTTCAGAACAGGGAAGTTTCCAACGGCATGGAAAGTGGCCAAAATAGCGCCGATATTTAAGGGCAAAGGTAGTAAAGTTACTCCTGGAAATTACAGGCCGATCTCTCTCTTATCATGCATTATTTTTCAAAATTTTGTGAACGAATATCTTATAATCAGTTGTATAGCCATGTTGCCCCTGCAATTCACCCTGCTCAGTCTGGCTTTCGTCGTAGAGACTCGACTTCACTGCAGCTGACTCGCCTTGTACAGGACATTATCGGAGCAAGAGCAGAAAAGTTGTACGCGGGTATTTGCTTCTTCGATCTTGCCAAGGCGTTTGACACAGTGTGGCATAGAGCATTAGAGGTCTCTTGAGGAAGCTTCAAGTCATCTTTAACATCTCTGACACACCGTTGAAGTGGATAAGAGAGCTACATGCACATGTATCTTTCTGGGAGAAGCCAGTTTGTGTCCGTGTCGGGAGCAGACTCGCCAAAGCTACCCGTGCTGTCAGGGGGTGCCTCAGGGCTCAATTCTTGGACCATTGCTTTTTGTTTTGTATGTTAATAATCTACCAAGTCATGTTTCTGGAATGTCATTGTTTGCTGACGATACAGCTGCTTTGCGCTACTGTAAAACTGTCAAACAGCTTGAGTCAGAGTTGCAAGACGCGACAAATAATTATGATCGTCACCTGGATGTCCAGTTGGAGGCTTCAGGCAAACGTTTCAAAAACCAGAGTACTGTTTCTAACAGATTCTGCCTCAATAGAGTAACTCTCCACCACTGTAACTACATGTAGATACTGAAGTACCCAGAAAGTGCAACAACTAGGCACAAAACTGGACGTCGAATGTCTCACTACTCTGTCAGTTTTGTGCCTAGTTGTTGCACTTTCTCACTGTATAGTATCTAGTTACAGTGGTGAAGAGTTACTCTTTAAAACTCGTTTCCATAATGTCCTTTTCCTTTTCTACATTTATTACTATTATTATTTCGAAAGAAAAGGCGACAGCACCGACGCAATCCATACAGTCAAGTAAGCCAATTTCGTAACCGAACGTTTTCGTTCCCTTCTCATCATGGGTAAAAAAAAAATAAAAAAAATTCACGGTTCGCGTGAGACTCGGCTGGAAGCCGGGTTTTCCGCATCCGTAGGAACGCCACCACCCTTCAAGGATCAAGGCGCAGATGCAGCTCCTAAAGCGGTGGGAGGTGAGTAGATCAGCTCACCAGCAAGTGGTCAAAGACCGAAAATCCCATTCACTGCATCCATGTTTTCCTCGTGCCAGGCCACGAGTTCCCAATTAACTGTGGGTCGCAGCACGGCTGGAAAAAATCCTTCCGCTTCCAAGCAGGACTTGAACCTGGTACCCTCTGTTTCTCAATCATGGTCTTAGACCATCCCACTATGCCTGGGTAAATACAGGGAATAATGGAAAAATGTCAAATACAGCAACTTATAGAGCAAAAGCATAGATTGAGAACTCACGCTATACGTGTGGAAAAAGAATTCAGCTGAACCGTCAAGTCAACAACAGGGTGAAGGTGAAGAAATGACTAAAACAATGTTTTAGTCATTTCTTCACCTTCACCCTGTTGTTGACTTGACGTCTTCTCATTGATGTTTTCATTATGTCATAATGAAAACATCAATGAGAAGACGAATTCCTGACACTTTCACGAGGATTAGCGCCAAACAACTGAAGCGACAAAACATTTTCCTTCTGGACACACAGTTCAGGGGACAACTTGCGAATATATAACGCTTCCAAAACAGACAAATGTAATACAGACCTGCCACGGGACAAAACTGTGAAAACATCATCTCTGTACAACTCACGACAACTATCACTAACCGACAGATGACTCTTGATCGCCGATTGCTGACTGTTGGAATTTCTCGTCTTTTTTTGTCACCTCCGATGTCGCAGCTCTTGACTCGTCCTTTCCACTGGGCAGTCGCCTTGTTGTCACTTCCGATGCTGCAGGTCCGGACTCGTCCCTTCCATCACACCGCCTGGCCACTCCGTCTCGTCCGGTGTCTGACTCTTCCGTTGTCTTGATCACTGGCTTTCGTGGTGGTCTTCCACGCTTCCTCCCACTTACGCTCGTTGTCACTTCCAGTATCGTCGCCTGTTCGTCTCCTCCAGTACGCATCCTAACCTGGCTGCGAGTGACTCGTCGACTGGGTGTCCCTGGCATTGTCTTCTTCGACTTCGGTGTTGTTTTCACAGGTCTGCACCTCTTTGCTTTGCCGACTTGGGCCGGCCCAAGCCCAGCGCATGCCGTCGATGAGGAAGTCAGACGAAACCACGGACTGGGATAATGCTTCACGTGACGCAACCTCAGTCAACGCACATATTTATATTTAGGAGGGCGACCACGTCGAGGACGAGAATCACGTGCGTGTACGGGGACTAACCTCAGCGGTACATGCTGACGGATTCGTGCGCCAAGGTGCTGAACAGTTCTGCCCACATACCGGCTCTCACACTGCCGGCATTGAAAAAAGTAGATGATTTTACTTGTGCAAAGGGTAGGCAGAACATCCTTCAGCACCTTCAGCACTTATAATGCTAGGATTATCCGCCCAGGCTTAATGACACCGTCTCGTTGCATGCCATGCATTACCTGTGAGTGTGATGTAACGTCGGTAGATCAGAAAAGACATGTGGATACGAGTCACACGACCCAACAACTCTCTCTCTCTCTCTCTCTCTCTCTCTCTCCTCTCCTCTCCTCTCTCTCCTCTCCTCTCTCTCCTCTCTCTCTCTCTCTCTCTCTCTCGTTGCATGCCTTGCATTACCTGTGAGTGTGATGTAACGTCGGTAGATCAGAAAAGACATGTGGACACGAGTCACGCGACCCGAAGAGTACGTACTAAGTACTAGTACCTAGTAGAGACCATGGTAGACGGTATGCCCTCGGCCCTGGCCCTCGATCAGATGGATTTTGGAGAGTTGCAAAAATGCACATACGACGACGTCCACGCGTGCACGATCCACTTTGAGTGACATACTATTAGTATTACTACATGTAGTACGGCCCAGTACGTAGTATGACTATGAATAGATTCTACTACTAGTAGTCTATCTATCTAGCTAGACGTCTATGCTATACTATAGTATGCCATAGCCCATAATTATGGTCTAAAAAATAATTGTTGAGAAAGAGGGCTTCTGCAGAGCTATTTTTACCGACATGACCATTGTTGTCAGCTTGGTCCCTGGCGTTCAAGGTTTTTTTTGTTTCCTCTACTCTAGCGTCCCACCTCTACTCTACTCTAGCTAGCTCTTGCTCTTCGCTGTGATTGTGTCATCTTTGCATCTGTGAACTGCATGCTACAACATGTTAACAGCCGGCTAGCTAGCTAGCTAGCCTGCAATCATGCATGGGGAAAGCTACTGAGTACTGGAAAACAGAAAAAAATGATTTACATGACTTGTTTGATTTTACTTCCATGACAGCATGATACGGGTGAGATGGCAACCTGAAGACTGAAGACTGAAGACGAGTGAAGTACTTGTACCGTTTACTACAACTGCAACCAGTTGCCTGTTCTCTCTTCATCTCGAAATAGGCAGGGAACTTCAGAGTTCAGTACTCGACAGTAGCTTGCAGGACGTAAGTCCATAACGTGTGGAACGTGTTTAGTACCACACTGGCGGAAGTTTTCTTGAAAAGAGCTACTGCCAGTAGACTGAGCTGAGCTGGGCGGCCGTTGTTGTTCGCGACTGGTATCGCTCAATACGCTCCATTGCTGCGAAGGAGATTTTCTCAACAGTGCGTAACGTCTTGTGTTCCTGGTGGTACCCGTGTGCTTGGTGAAAGATGGGGTCTCTCTTCAGCGTGTCAGCGTAAGTAACTATACCCAACATTGTACACAATTGAAGGGAATCATGGTTGGTGTGTTGTATGACCTTGATGACATGAACTGGCTCACGGTTGTGTGTGTGCATGGTGCACAACTCGTTTTCCTCAGCCTCTGGCTGCTGGACCGCTAGCCGCTAGCGGCATATGCCGTGACGGTGTGAAACGGGCCTATGCATGGCATGTAGCGTGTTCTGTGTTATGGATACGGCTAACGAGCATGACGAGAGAAGATCCCCCGATCATTGCTCATCCTTCAAACTAAGTTTTTTTCTGTTGCTTCTCTAGCTCTGAGTCTGAGCTGTTTATCTCGTGATATACGCCTTCGGGCCTTTCATTTGCAGTTGCTTTTCATTGCTCTCGCAAAGATCGTTTCTTACACCTTTGCCACTGCAATCAACGCACAGCGGAGAGTTTGTTTGAGTGGTAGTGTAAGTGTGCCTAGATGAATCGCTATATCACTTCTCTTCCTCTCAGGTTGGACAAGGGCACACTGGATCAGGTGCATAGCCAGCTAACTGATAAAGGTGTGGATCCTGGAACATTGAAGGAGTGCTCGCTAATCGACAATGACAGAGGCGGAACGTTTTACCTGAAGTATGAACGGCTAGAGACAGTGATGCGAGTGTGGGACTCTCACTGCAGTTGGTGGTCATTTGAATTCGAGCGGCAAGGCGAGAGGGAAATTATGGCCATACGATTGGCGCAACAGACAGGTGTTGAATGCCCCGAAGTGCTGATTTCAGGACAAGTTGAATTGGTAAGGGCATAGCATAGCAGTGAGAAAGGTACCATCGAAATGCAATAATTATTTAGATCACTGATAAGTTTTGGTCCCGCAATGTCGATGATTTCCAGTGTCTGCACCGATCATGGTCTAGTATGGCCCATGATGACATAATATTTGTTGTATATTTTGTTATAAAGTTTGCATAATATGTTGACAATGGTGACTAAGGATGCTTGTGTTGTTACTCTGAGTTTCATAATCAATTAGGGGTGAAACGGTTCCATGTTTCTCATGTTAGGGTACCCTAATGCCACCATAGTTTCCCACGGCTCAGGTATCGATTCCATGCACTCTCTTCTCCGGACCGACAAAATGCGTTCGTGACAATTACTTTTTAGAAATCATTTTTACGAGCAAGCACGAGACATCGGAGAGTCCATGTGCGAAGAAAAGAACGAGATTTTTCAAGTTCCGGTTCGAAATTTGACAGAACGGGTACCCGATTCTTTTCAGCTGGCGGTTCCAAAACCGGTTCCCTACCCGAACCGTTTCACCCCTATAATCAATCATAAAATCAATAATGGTTAGTCAAGATGCAGCATGATATGGTGGAACACAACAAACAGGCAACATGTTATACATGTACAATACTATAATTTATATAACAACGAGCTACTGGAAGCTATCCTATGAGTTCTTGCTTAGGAAGCCGCGGTCTTTAGACTGACTGTGTAGTACCTACCACACGCCTCAAGTAAGTTTCATTCCAGCAGAATGAAGGGAAAGTTGCCACCTTGATACCTAGGACTGTCCTGCTAAGTGTGCAGAGAATGGGCTTAGACATGCACTTCTGTTGAGATTATTATTTGTCATGTTGGTGTACTTGCTGGGCTTGTCTATTTTCCTGCTTTGCGTTATTCTTGGACTTTGAAGTAGAGTGAAGTGATATCCTGTGAGTGCACCTCACAGTCACACACATATGTATAGCAGCAACAGCAGCAGCAGTAATGCTCACTAAGATATTTTATGGGCAGCATGCAACTGCGTTATAGAAGAAAGGGAGGTTTGTCTATTCAGTTGCTATTCACTCGGCGTTGATCTCTGGCACTAGCGGAGGAACAGCAGCCGAACCATGTGGTGCAAAATAGGATCATACGTATTGTGTCAACGCATATTGTACGCGATCTGTCAAACATCATATTTCTGACCTAATATAAGTCATTGACGTCACGATCTTGAACAAGAAAAAAGTGAGACTGTGAATAACCTATGGGCCCAGATTTGGCGAATGCACTACATGTATAGTCCTTTTTTGTGTGTGTTTTGTCTGCTTCACAGGCTGGAAAGTCTCGCCACTACATGATGTCACGGTTTGTGAGTGGTGCAAGAGAGGATGAGTGGGAAGATAAGGAACCTCCGATGAGATTTGCGAAAGTTGCTGTCAGCATCTTAGAGAAACTGAAGAGCAATTCTAATCTCACACCACAAGCACTGGTCGCACAAGGTAAGGCCGCATACAGTAAACAGTAAATCAACAAATAACATGTTTAATAGTCGGAGGATATTTATTTTCAACTATTTCAGCTTGATGCTTTGAGGCCTAAAATTGGTTGCAGCTGAAAGTTTGATTTACATGATACGGTATGACAAGATGTACAGGCAGGAGCTGTACAGGCTGAAATTTAATATGGCCGAAAAGGATTTTGGCCCACGAAGGCTGAAATTGATTAAATCTCGTCGAAAATATGTAGACGTGCAGTATTCAACTTTGGAGCTCAGTAGTGACCAGTGAGGAGTGTGGATGTCAATGGCACATAGCAATGCGCCCACGAGTATGCACCTGCTTGTACTACCTCTATCCAGTGTTGAGACAGCAGTACAGCTGGGGGTTTCACATCACATGACCTGGTTCAAGAGGTTATTGTGGCAAACAGTGCGAAATGACCACCACGAGGCTGTACCTAAAGCGGGGCTGCACACCACCATGCAGCTAGTGTCCATAAGGTGGCAACACCTGGCATGTCCACACAAACCCTCCATCACACAATGTCACGTGTCGGTCAAATTGATATGGCAAGCCAGAGTTCATATGTTTGGGGGGGGGGGTGCGTGTGTGTGTGTGCGTACACTTGCGTGTATGTTTGAACATGTTTTTACATGCATGTATGCATGTGTGTGTATGTCATACATGCCAACCGTCCAAGGTTTCCCGGGACAGTCCAGGCAATAAGGTGTTTGTCCCGGGGTTCAGGGATGTCCTGCGAAAGTCCAGGGATTGTGATGAAACTTTTGAAATCAAAGTTCTCCTTTTTGTGATGCGTTTTCAGTGTTTCCTCGAACTTTTAGATCAGTTGTAAGTGCACACAGTACGTACTACGTTGTAGCCGAAAAAACCTATGTGGAACTGCAACGGATCGCCGGTATAACAGTAGTCAACAGAAAGTTTACTCGTTCAGTTACAGCTCAATGCAATAACATTCCTTTTGATTGAGCAGCAATCAAGAAAATAGATCTGCTAAATGATGGATGCGCAAAAAATTGGTGTCCAGGGAAAACGGACAAAATCAAGGGAATTCAGCCTCGTTGTCCAGGGAACTCAAGCCTCCAGGTTGGCATGTATGGTATGCGTATGTGTGTGTGTGGTACATGATGTGTGTTTATGTGTGTTGGTAGATGGGTGTGTCTGTCTGTCTGTGTTTGTGGTGTGTGTCTGTTTTTGTATGTGCATGACATGTGTGTGTGTGTGGGGGGGGGGGGGGGTATTGCAAGTGCGTATGATCAGAAGGACATTCTATGTGGTTGTTCTTTCTGGCAGGTTTCATGAAAGAGGGGGAGCGAATCGACCAATTTCCTCTTCCGTACTTGCCTGATCATTCATCTGTGCTGAGCTATTTGAAGAGCAAAGCAAAAGAAATTGGTGAACCATCTGTGGTGGATGTTGTCAAGAAGGTAAGCAAATGCTTCGTACGTATTGGTATAATTCCAGTGTGTATTTGTATATATAGCAAAACAGAACTTTCTGCCTGACATTGGAATGTGTGTAACCCGTTGCTGTCTGCACATATGCTGGATTGGTCAAATTCATTCATTTGGCTTGCATACAAAACGTGATCATTACGGTACATGTTATTGGTGCTTAGTTCAAGGTATTGCCCAATATTACTCACAAGATCCTAGCTACTTCTTCCGTGTCATTATAATTGTCACTTCGCGCATCTGTGACTTGTTTGTCTTTATCGGATTGTCGGAATCCTCTTTTTCCATGTTCCGGAAATGGCCGGGCTCGTTCTACGCAACGTCTACTAATTGTGCAAGTCGCGGCGGTTTCAGAGTTCTCTTCAACAACGAAAATATTGATCCCTTTCCGCGCTATTCCGCCCCAGCTTGCAGCATCTTTTTCTGTGGTTCATGCTGACCCACAACGTTCACGTGGGCATTTGTCAAGAAGTTCGGGTATAGGACTCCTGGTATCTCTCGTGAATACCAAACTGCTGATCTCGTGAATACCAAACTGCTAATCTCGTGAATACCAAACTGCGAAAGTTGACGACGGCAGGAACAAAGTAATCACAAACTCCTAAAAACACCACCATGTGTGGCATGTGTTGCTGCGAAGGTAACGAGTCGAGCAAAGCCAGCAAAGCACATGTCAAGGCAAGAGAGTGCGGATCTGCTTACCCCATCATCTCGCTGCAAGGTGGATACGGCGTGCTCCAAATGCTAGGGCTGCCATCGCCTACCACTACGAGGCATGGATCACTTGACAAAGAAGTTTCTTGACCTGAATCTAAATGCACATCTTGTTTAGCGTCTTGTTAACTGCTAACACGAACAGACTGCGTCTGAATAAACTCTGATAAAGACGTTGACCTCAGCTGAAAGCGTAGTGAAGTGGGAGTCCACAGTCTCAAGCTGACGGTCGACTATGCTTTGCCACAATTTCGAGTTGATTTCTTTGCTTTCAGTGGCCAAAAATGTATTTTATATATCGCTTTGGGAAGTGACCATTGTGATGATGTGGAGGATGTACATACAAATTTTGATTAAAAAAAATAGCTGGTGCATAGTGCAAAGAACGTGCCCCTTGATCGTGCCTTGATCCTCGAGGGTTACGGGTATGGAAATTTCAGTCTGACCAGAAAAATGTTAAAAGTGTAAGACTTTAAGTGACAGTACTGTCTGTTTCTATCTGGTCCATGAAGTATCCCGTCTTTTGCTATGTCCTGCAAGTAACTTGAGTGATTGAAGCGTAGTTACTCATTCTAGTTGTGTTTGCTGAACTGTTTCTCCCGGGCGTGCGCAGGTGGAGATGTTGTTTGCCGATGTGCCGTCTCTACCTTGTGGGCCTTGCCTTGTGCATTCGGACCTCCATCCTGGAAACCTGCTACTGGACAATTCGTTCAAGCTGCTAAGTGTTGTGGACTGGGAAGAGGCTGCTATATCAGATATTCGCATTGATGTAGCACAAGCATGCCTTGCCTGTCTAGATAGGGTAAGAGGCAAACACCAGTAATACAGCCGAACATAGTCAATATGGCCTGCACTACCATGGTCTAATTTATTTCGGAAAGAAGTGTCAGCACCGACGCAATCCGCACAGTCAAGTAAAGCCAATTTAGCAACCGAACATTTTCGTTCCCTTCTCATTATGGGTAAGTACAGGGAATAATGGAAAAAAATGTCAAATACAGTAACATATTGAGCTAAAGCAAAAACATGGATCGAAATCTCACACTGTACAGTAAACCTGGTGTAAGCGACCTCTCGGTTTAGCGACCGCCTGCTCTTAACGGCCGTTTTTCCATGCACGGACAGTTCTACACAGAAACTGTGGGACCTGGTTCTAAAGACCACCTGGCTTTAACGACAGCTTTTGCTTGCAACGTGGGGTGGTCGCTTAAACCAGGTTTTACTGTATATTTGAAATACATTCAGTAGAACACATCTAAACAGGGGAGGGGGGAGAAGGTTTTTAATTTTTCCTCTATTCCCTGTACTTACCCATGGTGAGAAGGGAACGAAAACGTTCGGTTGCTAAATTGGATTTACTTGATTGTGTGGATAGCGTCGGTGCTGACACTTCTTTCGAAATTTGATACGCCTCCAATTTTTTAATAACTTCAAAATAATGGTGATAAATAAGGTAGATTTATAAGAAGAAAAGAGGACCAAAGAGCTACAAGTTACGCTATAATATCCACTAACACCACCAGTTACTTTACAATCAGCTCATGCGATAGCATTGCACGACACTGACCAACGGTACTGACGTTCTACACCTAACTGGCAATCAGTTCTAGCACATCTTCAGTACCATCAGTACCGTTGGTCAGTGTCGTGCAATGTTATCGCATGAGCTGATTGTAAAGTAACTGGTGATGTTAGTAGATATTATAGCGTAACTTGTAGCTCTTTGGTCCTCTTTTCTTCTAAATTAATCCTTGCCTCTCCACCCAAGTCTAATATGGTAGATGTCTGTATTTTGTGACAAAAAAACTTGGGTGTGGCTTATACTCCAATGCGACTTCAACTCCGAGAAATAAGGCTATGACTCCCCTTCACGTGACCGCGAGCTCCGGCTTGTACCCTCACAGAACCACACAACTGTCTGGGGATAGCATGATTCTTGTATTATGCCAAACTTGACACTCTGAATCCAGCTTGACTCAGCTGAGTCCCTAACTACTATTTACTGCTCGAACGTGAAGCCTCAGCTGAGTCCCTAACTGCTATTTACTGCTCTAGCATAGAGCTGTGTCTGGTAGAAAGGAAAGAGGAGAAAAACCTGGTGTTCTGCAAGCTACAAGTAAGAAGTGTCGGTTGTGTTAGGCCACACAGGCATGAGGTCGGCTGGATGATGGTGAGCTGCCGGCACACATCTTGCCCGGCTGCTCCGCCTGCGCATACCTGATACGGTGGTGCGCTTATGGGCTACCTGAGCCCCAGAAGCCTCCCTGATGTGCCATGGGGTGCAGTCGAAGCACCTGTGTCACTTCGGTGGTCCGAATGCGCATGCACCCTTGCCAGTCGCCCGTCAGGCTGCCACGAACGCGACCAGCCTGAGGCTGACCCTGTCACATTGAGCGCCTCTAGTCACTGATATCCCGTGGACAGCACACTAGGCTGCCAAATGCGCGACTGGCTTGAGGACAGCCCCATCCTGCGCAGCAGGGTTCCCAGCTCGGGTCGTGCGCGGTAGCAGCGTGAGCTGGGCGCAGTGAGGGTTGGTGATAACTACAATTTCCTCCTCCGGAAACTTCCATTACTACATGTAGAACTCACTAAATCGTCGTGCTTTGTATTGTTTGCACCTGGTTTTGAGAAATTTTAAGTTTGAGGTGCACGTATTTAACCTTTTATTGGACGATTAAAATATAAACAAGCCCACGCAATCATGATACCTGTACCTAAAATGGACGTAAATTTAGTTTGCACTGGACAAATTCCATGATCTTGGGCATTCTGGGAAGGCGTTGGCGAGACGAGCGCAATGAGCCTACACTCGGCTCCACGAGATGCACTGGCCCAGCGCTGCAAGCCAGGGAAGGCACACCAGTGCCGGGCTCATGCTCGATCAATCTCTATCCGCCATTTCACTCCTGTTGCTCGTATCGAACTCGAACATTTTCGTGTATACTCCCAGGAATCTACTTTGAAATAGAATCGGTGTATCGCTTCGAAAATTGTTCGAGCCGACAGCTGAGAGTTTTTCTTCAACCTACCTATTTCAATCTCTCCAAAAGACGGAGATATGACAAAGTTGCGATAATTTCAAAATGCATACCCCACCGATGTTCGATCAATGTATGGTCCAGCCAATAAAAGGTTAAAAGGGAATTTGTGATTTGAGTCATGGATCCCTTCATGGTGCCACACTAGTCACCAAATTTATTGTGGCCCTGCACACCGAGACCAACAGAAGACAGGCATGGGTGCTTTTCCAGGTGGATTCCAGGCATTGCTATATCTGCTGAACATCTGTCCAAAATGATGAAGGGTCCACCGTCAGGCGAAATAGCGTGTCATAGTACATTTGAGACCAGCGGGAAGAAGATGACGACGCCGTCCACTAATTTAGTGTCTGTGCACGCGAATGTGCTGTGTTTGTGACTTGTGTGTTAGGTATGACATCAGACCGTGTGTTGGCATGCCTAGCATGTACAGTCCGTTTCAAAAAGATTTGCAATCCTGGCGATCGCCCGCGGAGTTTGGCGTCTTACCGTATGAGCACTCGAGCGTGGCCTGGAAAAACTCACTGTGAACTCGAAGAAATATTCCGCGCGAAAGCAGGAAAAATGACAAATCACTCACGTTGATACAGTCATGTACGTCTGGTTTACAACAAACGAGTTCTTCCTCGTATCGATAATGGAGTCAGAGAGGATATGTCGAAACGAAAGTGTTGTAAATGTTGACGAGCGGCATGGGTCCCAATTCGTTTTGTGACCAAAATAGTTTCTTTGAGCTGCGATGCAATTTACTCACCGTGTGACGAAAACGACATCGACACGGACTCATTCCCAAGGCCAGGACTTGGCAAAGCTATCCGTGTGACTTCGACGACATTTTGAGAAAAGCAGACGCTTGTGAACGCTGATAGAAGACGGCGGTGACTGCTAAATTCAAATAAATTGGCGATCTTGAAACACTAGAATAAATCTCAAAAAGCTACAGCGCGATGACTTCCATATTCACTCACACCATTGCAGTGTTGTGGGTGTGTTCACATGGCGTGAGCCAGTCAAGTGTCAGTCAGTTCGGCAGGAAGCGCGAGCTCCAACAACAACAAGTCGTTTGGTGCAGCCATCTTCTTTGTCTTGTACCAGCTTGATCACCAAAACAATGAAGAAAAAAAGTTTGACTTGAGGATAGGTTGGGATTTGAACTCACAACTTCATGGTCAGCAGACAGCATTCATAACCACAAGGCCAAAAAGGAAAGGATAAATCGTGGGTTTTGATAAAAAATTGATACTGGCTTCCTGGGCAAATTGTAAACCATGGGAAAAGGCCGGAAACCTGGCCGAAATTCTAACTCCTTAAAGGGGAAGTTAAGGCAAAAATTAAAATTTCACCAGTTGTAGTCTTCGGGGTGCTGAGTCGAATGGTCTTGGTCCGAGGAAGCTGAGACGCTCCCTTCCTACTTGAATCCCAATCGAACTCGCGCACTTCCACCGAAACTGGGTGACTGCGCCCTACGAGATGGGGATTTGTATGCAAAATGTCACTAAAAGCGCCATTTCGTTCTTATAAAAGCACGGATGACCGCGATTGGCCCATATGTTGTAGTCTTTTGGACGCTGAGTCGACTGGTTTTGGTCCGAAAAGGCTGCGATGCAGCGTTCCTCCTTTATTCCCAATCGAACATGGTTGAACAAGTGGTCACGTGCTCCTGGGTGCCCAAATCACCTGGTCACCACGCCAGCAGGTGACAACTTTCACACCAAGGTTCAACTCGAGTTCAACTCGAGTGACAGGACTGCACCCAAAAAAGGTCAAACAGGCTAGTAAGTTGTACCCTGCAGGCACGGTGACCAGGTGACTGGCGTACGCAGGAGCACGTGACCGCTTGTTCAACCATGTTCGATTGGGAATAAAGGCGGAACGCTGCATCGCAGCCTTTTCGGACCAAAACCAGTCGACTCAGCGTCCAAAAGACTACAACATATGGGCCAATCGCGGTCATCCGTGCTTTTATAAGAACGAAATGGCGCTTTTAGTGACATTTTGCATACAAATCCCCATCTCGTAGGGCGCAGTCACCCAGTTTCGGTGGAAGTGCGCGAGTTCGATTGGGATTCAAGTAGGAAGGGAGCGTCTCAGCTTCCTCGGACCAAGACCATTCGACTCAGCACCCCGAAGACTACAACTGGTGAAATTTTAATTTTTGCCTTAACTTCCCCTTTAACGGCTGATCCTATTGTTCTGAAACCTTCACAGAACAATTTGCCGTGTCCTAATCTTCATACTTTTTAAGACCCAAACCTGATTGTAAATCTTTTTGAAACAGACTATAGGTCAGAACAATCCTGCAAAGTTTGAATGCTGTAGGTTGAACGATTGTGTGGACAACCATACATTTTGAAATTCTCTTCGTAGTACTTTCCACCATTGAAAAATTCGAATTTCTTGGGAGGGGTGGCTTGCAACCTCAATATGGCTTGTTCCAGGCATGCTTTGGAGCCAGACCCTGTTGAAGTAGTGGCAGGCATCTGCCCATCAACTGCTACAGAGAAAATGATCTGATCTGAGAAAGCGTGAGACTGACAGGCTCGGTTGAATTTGGAGTATTTCAAGCCTTTTGAGACGAAGATGGAGTTCTTTTTGGAGATGGACGTTGCAGCAAAGGACATGATTTCCAACTTCTGGCGTCTGGCGATGCCATGGATCGTTTGTCCAGTCATGTTGGCAGCCTAACCGTCGATAAACTTGTGAGTAGGATCCAGTTCTGCTTCATAAGGTAGATCACAAACAATGTTGATATCGCACAAATTGAACTCTGCATCGTGCGTATGGTATTTTATATTCCGAAAATTGCAAAGTGTCTCTGTGTGGCCGTCCTGTGCCACGTGAAACTCCACTCAGGCTCTTAAATGTTCTCCGCCTTCTTGATAGGGTTTCGAAGTGATGACGTCACACATAACTGTTAATTGACAACGCATGCCAACGAAATTTCTGGGTACAAGCAAACTTTAGCATCCCCTTGCTCTTCACTGTTTTTTGGAGTAGTATGCAGGTTTCTGATGGTGGGAATTAATGGTTTGCTTGAATGAACAGCTTTTATAGGTGTCCCTTGCTGATAGAGGTTTTGCTACGCTGATGGAGCAGCTGATTACTGGTCTTCCCAGTATTCCGAAGGTGAAACAAAGGGTCTGCAACAAGCTGGAGAAAATATTTCAGAGTTCTGATCCGAGTTGAATTCTCGCTTGCTTCAGCATCTTTCCGCTTCGTAAAGAGAGCAAAATCAGATGTCCGAAGTCACGAGAAAGGATATAGCACAAAGAATCGCCTCTCACAGTGATCGAAAGAAAACTTGACGTGCATGCACGACGTACGGATCGATCTCCATGCTCCTCGGGAAAGGCAATAAAAAGTACAGGATTCACACCCCGATTTGTGATTATTTCGTGCAAGAAACTGCTTTGCTCTGCCCTGCAGGAGGAGGACAAAGCTAGCAGATCGGTGCCCCAAAAGGACAATAAAAGGACAATAAAAGGATATCCTGGTACTTCGTGTGAGGTACTGTAAATCAACAAATTTTGGCCGGTGAGAAACTTTGGCCGATCTCGAAATGAAACTTTTGGCCGATTAGGGTTTTCAAAAAAGAAATCGATCAGTAGTTGGTGCTCTCACATGCATCCATGCATCATTTGCCTCTATGACAAACTTTGGCAGGCGATTTACTTTGGCCGGTTGGTACCCAGCGGCGAAATCAGCGAAATTAAATCACCAGAGAAAATTAGTTGATTTACAGTATCTACTTTAATGTGCACAAGCCATGATGTAAAATTTGAAAAATTCAGTGGAAAACACCACGCACTGGGGGACGCAACGGTAGGTGTGCCCTGTTGCTACGAAGTTGTCAAGGACCTGACATGGCACTTCGAAGCCCTATTGCCACTTCATTTGGAAAACGAACACAACAGTCGAGGACGGCTTTGCAATGAAAAATACAGCAATACTGGAGCTGAAAAAAAGAAGAAAAAACGTGCTCAGGGCTAGACTTGAGTACACGCGCACTCACCCCAGCAGGTTCTGTGGATGTCGCTCACAGATGCGTAATTTTGCGTGACGGGAACACGCTTCTGCAGTGAGTGGAAAAGCAAGCGGGGAATTTGACAAGCTAAAGCAGCAAATTGCCTCAGCTCCAGTATAGCAGTCACCAGACCTTTTAGAAGTCATTCGTACTGGTCACTAATGCACAGGCCGTCAGAACTGACGCTTTGCTAGCACAGCAACAAGCAGCCTGTGTAGTGAACTTCAGCAACACGAAGAACTTTAACGAAGGAAATTGTGGAAGGTGTTGGAGGTGCATCTCGCTCAGGTGCAGTAGAGAAGCACTCAAGGAACTTGGAAGCGCTTCTGTTGCTCCTGCTTAGTGTTTGGTCTCTACGTTTGGATGGAGGAGATCACAAGATTTTCAGGACGTCCAAGGTCATGAAATCCCATTGGTGAGTGGAGTTGGAAATTTTGAAATCGCTCATCATCCACGGTTGCGTACAGCACTCTGTAAACGCCTGGGAAAGACCAGCTGGCCTTCAAATGAGTGCACGTCATACATGAACTCTATTCATACATCTTGTACATTGGTTGTGCACTGGGGTGTACGACTAATTTCAGGGGCGCGCTGATGATTCTGGTATTCACTACAGGCCACCACACCTAGCAAATATGGTATGAATATGTCTTGGTTTACATCTTCTAGATTGGATTGGAGTATCCCCAAGACACCGTACAGGTGCTAGGACAGTCCTTTTGTGTTTTCTTTGTTTTTGTTCTTATACTATAGTCCTTGATCCAATTTTTTCATTCATGTGTGGCAATTTCTTTCTTCTGTGCCATTCAAACTCTGATTCTAATAATCGTTGTCCATACTGTGTTGTCCTTTGCTTGCTCACATGTACAGGAATTGATCTGGGACCTGTTTGAACAGGAAACCGGCATGAACTTGGGCGACAAGAAGCCCTGGCTGGCATTGGTAGCTCTAATGCGATTCATGATCAGTGTCCAAATCGACTGGTATGAGAAAATGGGAAAGGAAGTTCCAGACAGTAATTTGAGTGGCTGGGAGTCGTTGTGCGGAGATGCTGAAGAAATTCTGATTGAATTGAACATCCTTCCCAACCCGGAAGCGGCCTAATAGAAGAAAAATACTCTCTGCCGTAATATCATCTACAAACATGGCTGAATGTAGGCATATTATTAAGTTTGGAAATGCATTCCTGCCACTATTCCATATCCATCTATTCTTACTCACAGATTAGTTTTCCTATATTCTGGTTTAACACTCACATATTTGCACTTGCTGTCTTGAATTCATGATTATTAGAGTGAATATTGCTATGTAAGGCTGGCACCATGTTTTCAGCTTCCTTCAATACGTTTCACAGACCCGCCGAAAAGTTTGTGTGACTCATGCCCTGTAAAAATGGTTTCATCAGATGGCTGCAACTGCCATTTTTCTGGTTCCTTTCATCTTGTGAGAGTTGTTGCTATTATCAAGATTATGAAAATTGTAATTGACCAGTGCTAACATCAATACTTCTTTGTAGTTTTATGCACAGCACAGTTATGTTACGGAACACACTGTTGCCATTGTGATCTGCGGCACAGATGAATATGCTGTTGTCCTCTTGCAGCTGCTATTATGTTTTCACTTGATAGTATGCAGAAGCATGCGACCCTGGGTGGCGTTTGATGTTTTTTCCTTCTACTATACTCTTTGACTTCGCTGTGTACACATGATGTACGTGTACCCATATCTCTAGTGTAAAAGAACATGATTGTACCGTCCCTTGGCTAAGTACCATGTCTTAGTGGGTTGTGCGTGTCGTTAGATGCTTTTTTTTTGCGAGCTCACACTTGTACCTGCTTGTGCATGTTTTTGTGTGTGTACTGTACATGTATGTGTGTACCGGTGTATGTGTGTGTACAGGTGTATGTGTGTGCGGTGTATGTGTGTGTGTGGGGGGGGGGGAGGGAGGGGGTACTCATACGTTTTGTTCAAGCTCCTGTATTAGAAAGAGCAGGTTACATTCCACAATGTATTTCTTCTGCCAGTCACACTGCTGGCTTGGATGGTGTGCCGTAAGACTGTGAGGGCCTAAGTGTTGCCATGGTTTTGTTTTAGAGCTTTCCCGAAAGCCACTGCATGCGGGAGTTGTGAAAGCCCTGCTTATGATCATGCAATGATATCTATTGTCAGTGCTCCACAGCGTGTTCAGTGCACCATAGATTGAAATGTCATGTGCTGTTTTCCCCGGGTCACATTTTTTTCAATGCCAAGTAATTTACCGTAGCTATAATTAGAGTAATTTCAGGTCACGGGGAAGCACCGCAAGTATGGACATTGAAACCTACAGCCAGTACAGGAAAAAGGACTGCTCTTACTCTACCTGATTGTGGGTCCACGTGGTGTCACCTGAAAGTATGCATCAGTGACGGTGGCCGCGTCGCACCTTCTGCCACTCACTGTATACATGTAGACATAGTGTTGGCATTTCGGACAACCCACAGTTACAACCCACAGATACAACCCACAGATACAACCCACAGTTACAACCCACAGATACAACCCACAGATACAACCCACAGATACAACCCACAGATACAACCCACAGATACAACCCACAGATACAACCCACAGTTACAACCCACAGATACAACCCACAGATACAACCCACAGATACAACCCACAGATACAACCCACAGATACAACCCACAGATACAACCCACAGATACAACCCACAGATACAACCCACAGATACAACCCACAGATAAAACTTACAACAACAGAGCCTCGGTGTAGGTTTCAGGAAAGAATCATTTAAAAAATGCGTCTCTTATAATAATATAGTTCAAGCGTTCTGAACATACCTATGTACATGTAGATTGTGTGAAGGCCCCGTATCCGGGTGTGACCCACTTCTGTACGAGCAAAACCCACCCAAGCTCTGTTGATTCTGCTCATGGTGGAAATGCATTTAAAATTCAGTGCAGAAAGAGAATGCTCAAGAGAAAGAAAAGGCAATCTCTGACATGGGCAAACAAGGCCATGCTCCATCATAACAATCAGCAAGAGTAATATCAACTGGACCGTTTTCAGTATTATTATTGTTTGCAAGTCAATCTGTACTAGCCGACGAGGATGTTTGAGAAATGAAAATATAAATGATGTCTGTGCTGATGATATCCTGTCACTGAGTGCATTGGCAAGAACTCAAGTACATTGTGTTATAGACGGTCAAGTTGTTCATGAGAGTACTGCTGAAAGGAGTGTCGCTATACTAACAAGGGTCCAACAGATGGGCAGAGTAGATGCAGAGCTGGGTCTTGCAAATGCAGTGACACTAGTGTATGCCAGTGCTTCGCGTGACTGAGAGTTCACAGCCAAGACATCGACCTCATAGTGCATCTCTGCTGTTAGATTACTGACGACTCGATCGGTGGAGTAGTCACATCTGCCTCGTCTGAGCAGTTCTTCCACGGATTGGACACCCATCACACCACATGGTGAACTAGGTACAAGATTCGTTGACCGAACTCTTGACCTGGGATGTGCCACAACACAATACTGGACATCGGAAGATGGACTTGATTCCCACTGCACATTCAATGAGCGAAAGTCTGACGAAGTCACGCGCACTTGAGCATTTTCTGGTATTTGAGGATAGGGTGTGGACTTGGGTGTAGTGGTTGCAAACACATCGAACTTTCCCACATCCGTATGCGTGTTGAAAACAGTCAACTGGTAGACACTTGCTGTGGATTGATTAGTATACTCAAACACTGATTTGCCTGTGCTACGGCCAACGCCAGCATCACGTTCAGAAAGCCGTGGCTGAGGACGTGGTCTAGGAGGCGTTCGCACCCTTTGCCTCCGACCAGCGTGACCCTGCATGCCTGGCATGCTGAATAATGTATTGATGTTGTTGTTGTAGAGTTGACGACGGCGGCGGCGGCGGAGTGGACTGACAGTGGCAGGTTGAGCACTTGCGGTTGATGTACTGACCTGTGGGGAACCGGCAACTGGAGTGCCAGTAGCAGGTCCGCCAAGTGCTGCTCCAGGACCAGCACCAGGGAGTGCGATACCTGCAAAGCCACCCGCTTGACCGGCACCAGCTCCGGCGCCTGGAAATGCACCAGCTCCGGCGCCTGGAAATGCACCAGCTCCGGCGCCTGGAAATGCACCAGCTCCGGCACCTGGAAATGCACCAGCTCCGGCTCCTGGAAATGCACCAGCTCCACCTGGAAATGCACCAGCTCCACCTGGAAATGCACCAGCTCCACCTGGAAATGCACCAGCTCCGGCGCCTGGAAATGCACCAGCTCCACCTGGAAATGCACCGGCTCCGGCGCCTGGAAATGCACCAGCTCCGGCGCCTGGAAATGCACCAGCTCCACCTGCTGGTGGGCTGAATGCTGCATTTCCTGTGTTTGCGTTGGGTAGTTGGAATGTTCCTTGGCCACCTTGGCCCAGCCCACTGTTTCCTACCGCGAAGGGATTGTTTTCTGGAATCCCTGGAGGAGCAAATGGATCAGGGAAAGCTTGACCTCCAGCAAAGTTGGGACTCCCCATGTTGTTCGGGAAATTCCTATCAACTCCACCTGCTGGACCTCTACTGTTGATCGGATTCACTGGGTTCAGAAAAGGCATGTCATCATCGTCACTGAAGCTGTCATCATCGTCGTAGAGAAATTCAGGCTCAAAATACTCCACGGGCCATCCATCTCTTGTCAGTGCCCATGTAATAAGACCAGTACATGGTACTACCATTGCCTTGACTGCAGTAGGCATTCCAGAGTTTACAGCAGGTTCACTGAATGTGAAGATTTGGCCAGTACTGGGTGGAAGGGCATAGTTGCTGACAACACGATTATTGGGTAGTGCTATACCAGCAGGCAATGTGGTGACATTCACAGCCTGATATGCCGATTGTCTTTGTGGCCGTACATTCACATTGGTTGCATACACGTCGACGAAGTAAGATGTTGCTGGCTGCAGGTTGGTGATGAGAATACTAGTCTGGTCTGTGCATCTTACTTTGATTGTTGCGCCGGGTCTGGTGCGATGTGTGCCGCACGTACTACTGTGCCGATCTGTCACCCTGCTAGTAGCTGCAGGTGAGTACTCTATGCAGTAATTGACATGCTGCGCTTGACCACCATGTGCTCCATTCTTTTCCTTCTTCACTGGGTCCCATGAAACCTCCACTGCAGTCGGCCGAACTTTAGTAACACGTACCTGCTTCTCTTCTGGCAGTCGAGGATACGGTGAATTTCCTATGTTGCGCGTCATCAGGATCCTATAGACAACTGGCTCTTGTAGCGGGTTGGTAATTAACACACTGTACTCTCCACCACTAATATCAGTTTTCTCATACGCTTCAGAGACAGGAGCTGTCTCACTTCCAAGGCCAAATTCCTCCGATTCCATCGGCTCTTCATATTCAAAATCAGGTTCAATCTCGACGGGCGGTGGACCGTTGAGTGCAGACGCAGATACTTTGTAGCCACCCGGGGTGCCTGCTCCTCCAATACCACCAATATTGCTCTTGCTTGGCCCAAAACCATTCATTCCTCCTCCACCAGCACCTGGAGAACCGAACTGTCCTCCTGGTATTGCTGGATTTGATCCAAAGTTGTTCATATTTGGAAAATTATTTCCAGGGGGGAAATTTCCACCAGGAAGCCTGTCACCGGGATTAGGTGTCAATTGGGGCACAGGTGCGGCTTGATGTCCACCCATGCCTCCTCCTGTTTGTCCAGGGAAATTAACACCAGCTACAAGCTGATTAGGCAGCTGTTGATTTCCAATAGGATTTGCCATGGAAGGGAAAACATTGTTGGCTGGAGAACCTGGGCCTGACACTGGTGCTCCCCAGTTATTAGCTGAGGGACTTCTGCCTACAGTATTGCCTCCAGGCTGCGCTAGTTGCCTGCGCTTCCTCTTGTTGAACGGCATATTTATGAATAACTCCGGGGCTTCATCCATCGGTCTAACTGAGTGTTCGACATTGCTATCTTGGTTTCGTACTTGCCAATTTACAAGGCCTCTACAGGGTTTCACCTGTATGCTAAAATTTCCTCGATCATTGCCGAAGAAACCATAGGTTTGTGACTGTCCTGGCTGGAGGGAACCAGTTGTTTCCACCAGGTCTTGTAGCGCTATGACACGAGATTGGCCGGGATGACGATTCCGAAATCGCCGAGTATTTCTTGGCTGTGCTCCGTTTCTCGCAAATTGTGATCCTCCAAAATTCAGCGATGGTTGTTGCTGCTGACCAGGCATCATCGGTCCACCAAACGATGGTGGTCTTTGAGTTGAGATGCCTGGTAAGTTGCCAAAGTCAAAGTTTGGCTGCTGTGCTGCTTGCGGCTGACCTAGTCCTGGCTGTGCTCCTGGGGGAACCTGCCCGGTCAATGTACCACTTCCAGGTTGGGCTGGTGCAGGCTGCTGGGGTCCAGCCAGTCCCGGTCCAGCTGCAGGCGCAGCACCAGCAGCATTGGGAACAGATCCGGTAGGTATCTGCTGTATGTTGAATGGTGAATTGGCATTGCCAAACTGCTGGTTTGCGGGTCTCGATGCAGCCTGCCTTCCAGGCATGCTGAATGGGTTTTGCATTTGATTTCCAGGCTGGCCGAATCCTGGGAATAAGCTCTGGGAATAGCATAATCCTGCGCCATGAATAACGAAGACCATCACCACAGCAACTAGGGGATATTCACTCGTTGTAGCCATGGCAACTGGGCTGAAAGAACACCTCTACCTGCAAGAACATAAAGAAACACGAGTACATAGTTACGTACTAGTGCAGTATTGCGGAGTGTTTTAAAAGCAGGCAGTACCAAGGACCTTTCCTAGTAGAACTCATGTCAACGTATGGTAACGTTAGTCCAGAGAGTGAGAGAGTTTTGACTTCGGACGATGTTATAGGTGCACGGACCAGGGGCAAGCCAGTCGAGTCACGTGATCACCTTCAACATACTTACGCTATTAGTATTACCATATTAGTGTTAGTGTTCTGCAGTCCATGCAAATCACCACTGACAACCGCAGCAAGGGCAACAGAACCATTAGAACAGAGAGCAAACGTGCGCAGTACTCTTCTTAGTCATATGCAGCACCATCAACATTATACTGTTGGACCACCTAGGGGTACATCTCAGGTTGATACTGGCTGAATGCCACTTCCAGCGCCACAAAGATCTAGGAATACATGCCATACTGAGTTAGCCATGCCTTAGCCGCGAACGTAACATGCATGATTGTAGTCATGTAGTGCATTGTATACTTATAACAGGAAAGGGCTCTAAGCTAGGCGCTATTGCTGCAATAGTGCTTCATGCACACCTGCAAAGTGCTGAGCCGCTCACACACTGGAAACAGAGAAAACCAAGTTACTAGTTGGGACGCTAAGCGTCACGCTAAGACCACCATCAACATACATGTACATGTACATGCAATCGACCGTACCAAACCAGTTGAGAAATTTACCAACTCTGTAACCAACTCTGTAATCATGGTAATGGATTGCACGGTAAAGTCTTAGTTATGGTGATATCCGCACTCCACAGCATGCGTCACTGGACAGTTTGCACCCAAGCTGTCAATCTTTCGCCAACATTGTGTATCTTTCATTCAGCTTCCAGTTATCATCATGATTATTGTTGGGTGACGATAGCCTTAGCCTGAAACTCGGAATAAGGAACTTCTTTCTTTCTTTCTGCTCCAAGTGTGTCAGGAAAAGGAAAATAGATGTAACAACGAAACAGCCCTATTTAGTTCCTTTTGTGTACCTCTTGCGAAAAACAGAAGGGTATTGTTGCCTGAAGCACATGTACACACGTCTATATTTCGATTCAGAACCGTGTGCCACATATTGGCTGAGGCCCAATGAGGGCTCATGGATCCTTCACAGAAGATTACCTTGATATTGGAGTCGACGGACAGACAGATCATCTGCACCGTCGAGAGTGCATTTATCATAATTATTGCTCTTAGCAGACCAATACCAGGCTGGACTCTTTTTCTTTCCTTTAGATGGTACATGTACTTGTACCTTTGTATATCATTTCTCAACCTTGCCATCACCTCGGAAATAGCGCAAGGACTCAGTATGATAATCGGCTGTATTAGCCTGCTGAAGTAGTTGCTGTCGCCGGGCAAACGAATGTTCGAGGTAGAACGTGAGGAATGCACGCCTTTGCAAGCTAGGTTAGTTGGCAATGCGCTGATCTTTCACTGATCTGGATCTGAATCCTCATGTTTCTTCTCACTACAATATCCGTGCCAAGTCAACGCAACTTGGGACGACGTATGTTCCTACTATTACTAGTATTGTATTAGCACTCAGTATTTCTTCCCAGCACAAAACATGCATGTACTCGCACAGGTCTAGCACTCAGTATTTCTTCCCAGCACAAAACATGCATGTACTCGCACAGGTCTAGCACGCGTCGTTCTTGGGGGACACAGTATTCAGTAGCCGGATGATATGAGGCACTGAGGTAGTATACAGGACTAACCTGATCCAACGCAACACATAAGAACAACCACTACTTACCGAAGAATGCTGGCTGTCACCAACAACCTCTTCCCTCTAGCTCTGCCAGCACGAATCCAAAACTTACAAAGCGAGATGATGCATACAGACCTGCTCCCCTATCTCCCTCCTCCCTCCTTCATCCTCTGTCTCTATCTTTGATCGTGTTGTTCGCCGCGGACCTCGCTGCTACCACGGACTACGTCCTTCCCATTACAGCCTCGAAGAGTAGGAATACGTTCCCTTTGTCTCTGATATCCACCACACTGCTGCAGTTAGCTACATTGTCTCATGGCGATCTTCAAGACCTCGCCCAAACTTGCACTCTGCATTGGCCCTACATTGAACACTAAACTGAAAGTACTTGGACCGATCATGTACAGCGGCTTACCACATGTGTGCAGTGCCTGCAGCAGTGCTACTTTCATTTTCAACTCTACTAATCGGTACATTGCGCAAAGTCAAGGTTGATCCATCCTCTGCTTGTTTGTACACAGAGCTGATGACCAGCACATGACCAGCACATCACTAGTGTCTACCTTTGCTATTTCACAGTAAATGCTAGGTACACTAAGCTAGCTCTGGGGCGACATGAACCCGACGGTGGTAGCCGAGCTGCCGATCATTTCCCTGATTGGTCAACCGTGTAACGGCTTTACCAACTAGCTAACGGGCAGTTCAGTTGAACTTGTGCTAGTGGAGCTAGTCACTAGGTATCCCGATCCAGGGTAAACTGCATTGGTCACTAAGTGCTGACAGTCACTAAGCCGTGGAATGGATGCTACTACAGTACTAGTGGCAACACTGGGTACCCACGTGACCAGTAGAGACTGAGTAGCCGAAGGAAGAAGCCGCGCAGGAAGCATGGCTAATAACCTCCGTGACTGTGCAGACCGCTAAACCGGTACTGATCGGGCGCACACACAGCGCCCTGTCTTGCCATGCATTATCGCATTAGCAGAATGCAGGTCACCACCATCGCTGATCCTACCTAAACGCCTAAATTCCTTTTGCAGTCAAGACACCACTCCTACCGAGTCACAGCAGCACAGCAGTCGTGTTTAGCTGACACGCCGTCTGTAGGTTTAGTATCTGTAATAGCTCGCATGATCAATGGCCGGGTGGCCGAAGCCGGCGAAGGCGATGGCATCCTGGCATGGAATTGGACTCAGTACTACACTACACTGTCTTCACCGTCGTGCTAGCACTGCCGATTAGCACCGACGCGTACTTTGGGGGATGTATGGCTCTAAAGGTGAAGGTCGACACCCCTACTGGCCATCAATTTTGATTTCCCTATGACGGGTTTCTGTGACAGCCGTCATCAACTTAGATTAAAGAACGGCGCTACCGCTTTGTTGACTAATAATTATTATCTATTACGGTACCCTTGTCGTGTGTGAATAAATATGTGGTGCCTGTGGCGACACACTAGTACTGGTATTACTCTTCTACCATGGAAGTAGTTTCTGAGCTAGCGCTCACACTGTCACGTACATGAACCAGGCTCTCGTAGACTACAGTATGAAGGAAGCATGATGGGAGGCACGTCAAGAACATGGTCCACTTTTTGAGTACATGTGCATGGGGACTAAAATTGCAGCTTGTAGGAGAGTATAATTATGGTGTTTAAGCTGCTGGAGAGCCGCGCTGAGATGGAGGTCTATGCTCAACGCATATGAAACGGTGTATCATCCATCGTCTTGCCGCCGACAAGGGTGTGGAAATTCCCCGCTTTCCCGTGCACTGAGCTTCACTATGTGCTAGTACTTGTGGGGCGCCTGGAAGGCTGGACCATGTGGACCATGTGGACAATCCTCGGATGAACTATGGTACCAACACTCAACATGCCCCAGCATAGCAACAGGCCCCAGCATAGCAACAGGGCAATATTGTTAGTACATGTAGTACTAATTGTCATCCTGACACTGTCTGTACTTGATTGTGTACGAAGCAGAACATTGCTTTCAACACCTCATCACAGGCTGTCCTGCTGGTTCTTCACGTACAGGGATTCTGGGGAACTACTACTATACAATGTACATGTACGGCACTGGGGGAGAATCCTGTTTCAAAGTACAATTATTATATCAGTTCCTAATCATCGCAAGCCAGAAGCAAGCCCATCCTCCTAGTCCTAGGAAGAGGCTGAAGCTCCAGTTTGCGACCTTCTCAGCAAGGCCCTCTTTCTCGATCATCTTCATAATGCTCATGACATGAGAACGGATGTGTTAAGTCGGCAACAACAGAATACCGCTGGTCATGAAGTAAAGCGAGGAACAACTGTCAACTGGCCAGAGTTATTACATCATCAGTTGAGGTGCTTTGGCAAAGTCGCGGGGAAATAAAATAGCGCTTCTTTCAAGTGCACACTGCACAGTGTTGGCTTTGCGGTAATGCGTGTAGACCACAGAGCGACCTAAACTAAAGGTTACTAGCACGACGAGTAGCGCGCAGTGTTCGAACTGAGCTTGACTACCGGTGGAACTGCTCGTGCTCAGCCATGGTAGATCTTTCCATGGTAGGCAGGTGAAAGCGACCGTCGATTGTCAGTCGTCGGCACCAGAGAGTCGTAAAACACAGTATTTTACGACTCCCTGCACTACTTACCGCATTTCACAAATCTTCGAGCGGGACGTCATGGAACAGGATCATTCCGGATCATGCATGGACTAGATCTACCGTTTTTTTTTACAGTTCACGCGCTAGATCCAACGCCACGGTACTCGTACCCAACACCCAAAATACCGTCGGTTTGGTAGGTCTACCGTCAAAAAGTCGATCGTTGCGTCAGGAGTCAGGACTCAGAAGCCGCTAACCGTGTCTCGAAAACACATCAAAAACAGTATACTCGCCCTACACGCCGACCGTCGAAAATAGCGTGAACGGTAAAATGCTAACCATGTCGTAATAAAAAAATTGCTGTGGAGATATGGAGTATCTCAACAAAGACTCAAGCCTAACGTCGTAACGAGGAGTAACGGCAGGTCTACTAAAGTGTTCGAAAGAGAGAAAAAATATTTCATTTGGTGCTGCACATTGTCGCAAGCAACTCTGTTGCCGAATGTTCTGTCCGGTCCCTGCGACGATGGTGCTGGTTGATCCAGTGTTCAGGGGACAAGGAAAGCGCTCTTGCTATTGTAGTGGACAAGGCGAACTCACCGCTACTGTATGTGTTCGGCCGATGGATTGTCATCCGTGTTATCCCCGCTTGCGGCTTGGCGCTAGCTGCACCGAGCTACCGTTTGCTGGTTCGCTGAATCCTTATGGAATATTGAGTTCGTTCAGTGATGAGTTTGAGTATTCCAAACATGGAGATTTTAACGACTATTGTGCAGGTTCAACTTATCTTTAGGCTAAGTAATAGTTGAATTGATCAGGAGCACAAATGCCAGCACGCTGATTTTCGGTAGACTCTACTCATTGGTATGACATCATAGATTTGGAGCATGCACACCTATCGGGAGTAGGTTAGGTGTCCAGCAGCATGTGCTGAAGTCTACCTACTTTGAGTGCTGGCAGTAATTGACAGGTTTGCGAGCTGCCAAGGTCAGTATGAAGCAAGCCCTCTGTGACCCGATGATCAACTTGTCAACATTGTGCTGCAGCATAGTCAGTTCGCATTGGAACTTCCTGTAGTACGTTAGTGACTTACTGCGATACTGCACTGCCGCATTGGCTGTGTGTCTGCTGCAGTACTTATCCGGAAACGGGCGGACTAGCTCAACGTGTGCGGCTTGTAGCTGAGTATTGCTAGACCTACGCATCAAAGAACCTTCAGATTCTCATAGCTGCTGAGCACTGCTTGACATACGCATCAAAGAACCTTCAGATTCTCATGGCGGCTGGGCACTGCTTGACATACGCATCAAAGAAGCTTCAGACGCTTGTAGCGGCATGCCTGGCTTGCTAGCTGTATCAGTATGACAGACATTCTGAAAACTAATCCGATGTCCCAGGTAGAGAAGAATCCCGGCATGGGTGGCGGGTGCTGCAAGGAGTTGCCACTGGAGACAAAAAAAGCATTGGAATTTGTGCAGTATTCATGTGAAAGCCAGCACATGGCGCAGCTACTGCCAGTTTTTACCAGCGATCAAGGATGTCCCACTGAAGGTGAGCAACGGTGCACATAATGTCTGGTGTGTGTGTGGGGGGGGGGGGGGGTGCGTGTGTGTATGTGTGTGTGTGTGTGTGTGTGTGTGTATGTATGTGCGTATGTGTGTGCTTAGGCCTAGACTGGGGAGTCATGCGAATCTAGGACTATATGAGGCATGACCCATGAGCCATAAGATAGACAAGTTTAGCGAGTTGTGTAGTAGTGCATCACAACATCAAAAGTGAATTGACGGAGTCATGCTAGCTTTCCTACTGTGACCCGTACACGGACGAATTGCAGAGTTTTGAACAAGTCCGTCCCCCAGTCACACAGGTCTGGGTGAGCTTATCATGCCAGCCCGTGTATTCACTCAGTCCGCAGGTCTGGGTGAGCTTATCATGCCAGCCCGTGTATTCACTCAGTCCACAGGTCTGGGTGAGCTTATCATGCCGGCCCGTGTATTCCCTCGGTCAGGTCTGGGTGAGCTTATCATGCCGGCCCGTGTATTCACTCGGTCAGGTCTGGGTGAATCAACTGCTTGTACTTGTTACACAAACATGGACAATGTATTTTCAATGATCAACTGTGAGCTATACATGCACATTGTACATTCCAGTGTGCAAGCAGGATAGAACTGCCACTGTGACATCGTCCAATTTATCGGACAGAGCCCTACAGTTGTTTCGCATCAATTCTCCCTTTGTCTGGAAACCCATCAGAAAAAGAACATTTCCTATTTCCACTGAAAAATCGAAGGCTGCCACTATAATGTGCATGTATGGTTTATAGTCGGGGAGTCGTCAAATACCCGTAAAATGGTATTTTTACGACTCCCTGCTTTAAGCGTATATTTGTAGTGCTAAGGTTGAATACAGAGCATATTGACTCGGGCTGACGACTATAGCAAAACTAGTATACCGGCTATAGTGATCTTTTTTTCGAATTTATTTTCATTTGCCGTTACGAAGTATGAGCAGCTTTTACATAATATTATACATATGGGAATAGTCGTCTATAGTAAAAATAAAATAGCCTATAGTGATGAAAAGAGGACCAAAGAGCTACAAGTATTAGTTACGCTATATTATCCTCTAACACCACCAGTTACTTTACAATCAACTCATGCAATAACATTCCACCACACTGACAAACAGTACTGACGTTGAGCGGTTCTACACCTGTCAGGTACCTCCTGCCGTACAACCTCCAGCCTTTCCCAAGCTGGCCTGCAGCATGTACCGGCCCATACTTACCCTTGTTGTCTCTACTCAGCTTTCATTCCGTTGGCTTGGATAGCTACTTGCGCCCCATACCGTAAAATTCCATAAATAAGCCCACCCTAAATAATGCCCATGTCCGATAATAAGCCCAGTTTTAGGCGGTGTACACTTCAAGTCCGTTTTAGCGCCCATGCCCGAAATAA